TATCTGACATCCTGTGTATCTGACATCCTGTTTATCTGACATCCTGTGTATCTGACATCCTGTGTATCTGACATTCTGTTTATCTGACACCCTGTGTATCTGACATCCTGTTTATCTGACATCCTGTGTATCTGACATCCTGTGTTTTTTGCCTGACATATTATTGATTAATGTTTTGTTTCATCAGAATGTCAGATTAGACAGGTTTCAACCCCCTATAAATTTGTGTGTCAAATATTGATAAATATCTTTTCTTATTTCTTAGTGTGTAAGAAATTTCTATAGGCTAAAATCCTGAAACTCTATCATCATGAGAAGCTATGCACACCTGTTCCTTTTGTCTAATTGAGGTGTGATTATTTCTACTGCTTCAAGGCTGTGATAAATAAAACACTGACATATAATACAGAATTGAAACTTTTGATGACTTGAAACAGTTGATTCTAATTATTAATCGATCTACTATTGTAAAGACACATGTTTTATTATTGAAACAGAATTAAACCAAAGATTAATCTAATTTTGGATATACAATTAATAGCTATTAATCCAATTAACTTATATAGATTATATCAGTAGCTCCATTCTTACATGTCTTTGGTGCTGGGAGGAATTTTCCCCACCTTGGGGTCATCATTTCAGTCCTGTTAGCTGGAGGAGGACATGGCAAGGGGAAATTTGGCTTCCAGCGCCCTGTTCAAACAGTGTCAGATTTTTGAAAGTTAAATATCACACAAACATCATAATATTGTTTCTTCTTACTTAAACTTACTGTTTGTTTTCTATAAAATTTCAACACAATTTTGTTTTGTTATATTTACATCACAGATTTTTTGATATTGCTACAGTATAATTGTAATCTAGAAAAATGTGTGAAATTTTAACCATGATTTAGTTGTCTTCCTTATTACAGCTAGGACTATCGGGTATAAATGGGGTCGATCGTGCAAAATTTATTAAACTTATTTCCAGGAACAAGAACTGTGAGCATTTGACCCTATTAAAGTGTAATGGAAGTTTTCTCTGCAATATTACACTAGAATCCAATCAATGGATAAAGGATCCTTGTTTCACTTCAGTAGGAGTTCTATTTACTTACGCTGAGGATACAGTCCATATATACTACTACAAATCTAGTTAGGCCCCCAATACAATATTAATTTATGAAACATGGACACTTACCCCAAACAGAGAGCTGTACTGGAGTAGGTCCAGCTGGCTTAAGCCTACCATTTACAGCAGCCAGATCCTCTGGAGAAAGATAAACAGTACAAGTAATAAATCCATACATCTCTCAGCCTTAAGATTGCTTATGCATATTGTATCAATAACTTAGTAAGTTAATTGTCATTTCAATACAATTTTTCAGGCACTTACATTTTTTATTAAGCATAAAGATGTAATATAACGTGTAGATGTATGAAAATATAAATAAAAAGTTGTTTGTTATTGTATTGATTACATTACCACTGAACAAAGATTCTTCTTAATTTATTCTTCAAGATGACAATCGGTGATGGTACTGTTAGAAACTATAGAACTTAGAAGGCAAAACTGCATGGATCTTTCCATGTCCATTGTGTTTATTTGAAATGTACATATAGGCCTAGGCCTATATCACAAAAAAATCCCCACCAACATTTAACTGTTAAATAAAAAGAAAAGAAAAAGAAAACCTCATTGGTTCTGTATGTTTATGAAGCGAAGTATAGACTATTGGCCACACTTAACCTAACTCCTGTACTTTACTACTTACCAGCCTCAATTTCTTCAAAAGCCTTCCTAGTTGCCATTGTACACATATCCTGTATAAGGGCATCAAATATATCTTCTGACGCCATGATTATCACCTGAAGGAAGCAGAGAATATATTGCAGCAAATTTATGGTGAGAACGGATCAGAATAGTAAAATCCGGATTTCGTGCCTGTCAAGTAAAACATTAAATAAAACTCCAGAAGTAGCTCATGTTCAGTTCGATAATAAATCGTCACAGTTAAAGATGATATGATATAGGCCTTCATACTTACACACGCACTTGTCTCGGATGTAAAACAAACTACTTAACTTTCCCGCTCTGAAACTTACTGTAGTGTCGCGCTCTAGCAAGCAAGTTATGGTTGCTATACACATAATGCTGACGTCACTATAGAGAACAGAGTTTCGTATTTTCAGACGCTTCCCATTTAGAATTTATTGCATGGAGTAAATTTACAAAAATACATATATTTATCTTTAGTATAAATAATGAATCATGAAGTTATATTATTAATAGTTTATAAACAAATATTTTTTTCATTAGTTCCGCATTAAGTCAAATATCGCCTCGCAATCGGAAACCGTCGGCAGTTTCCGGTTATCTCGCGTCGCAATACAATCGGAAACCGTCGGCACTTTCCGTAAACTAGAAAATATTTTCTCGTTTACGGAAAGTGCCGACGGTTCCCGATTGCTCGCAATATTGGGCCGATTTCCTTAATTGCGTTTCAACCCGTTTTACCGATTAGACCCGAATTGTTCGTTTATGAAATTTTTAGTGAGCTTTGACATAGATTTATAACTTGTTCCTTTGCATTAACATTTGCAGCCCTGCCAGGATTTACGCAGAGGCACTTTAAAAAAAAATAACAAGCATAACGTTACCTTAAAATTAAGAATTTTTAAATTTTGTCTTTGTACCTTCTGCCATGTTTGCCCTTTTGTTACGATTTCATGAAAGGTTAGGAGTGACTGCACATATTTCAAGAAGTGATATACTGCCCAGAACATCTTAAATAATCAAAGTACTGAAAGTACTCCAGATTTACGCTGCACATAATACTCGAAAGAGGGTGTTGCAGATCTAGATATATAGATAAATAGATCTACATGCTTTCTTAAAATTGTAATATTTATAAATAGTAATATTTTAGGAAAAAGGAACACAACACAGTCAGTTGAGAGGCAGGTTAAACACCTTTTAAATTTATCGAATTTGATGAAATATTTATCCTTAATTCGTATACATCTCGTGGACAATCTTCAGGCCAACCTTAAACATGTCTGATGACATAATTTCCCTCAACCATACCCGACTCAAGAAATGTTATTAAAACATATTGTATTTTCATCACTATATACGAATCATTTGCTTTTGCTAATTGTTTACAACCTGAAATATATAGTGTTAATTCCAGGACATACCAATAAAAGGTTCAATACCCATATTGGGGGTCCCGTGTACTGTCGCAAAATGCAACAGCCAATAAGGAAAATCCGGTGAGGAGGAAACGTTAGGTGCTATAGCCTTATCAGGAGGGGAGTCTCCCCCGGGATTTTTTTGTGTTTTTGATTGTTTTAAAATGGGGAAAAATCTTCGAGCTGTTAAGGTGGCTCCACACTTTCGCAATTAACCAGCAAAATTCGTTGAAACTTTCATATAATTGTTATGCAACTATGTCGAGTTATGAATTATGAAAATCTAAACATTCCGATAGTTTGGGGAATTTTTTGGAAAAAATACCAAAAAATTGAATTTTCGTCAATTCTAATATTTTCCGGTTTTTTTTGTGTGTGGCATTGTTCGGAACAATAACAACAATAATAAAATGAAAAGAAGCATTTCTAATTAACCCTACAAATATTTTATTTATCGCAAAATATGTAACACATGTTACACAAAGTGTTTTTTATTGAATTTGTACGGATAAAAGTGATTATCTACAAGCTAAAAGCACCCAGGACACAAAGTTCTATACATATAGAGTGGGAAATTGAACAAAATATACACAATGGCTTTATAATTAATTTATTTTACATTTTACAATCACTTTGATCCGGGTGAGAGTTATCTTCCT